TCTACTTCAAATGTGTTTCTTATAAACAACGTATTGTATAATTATGGTTCTTAATCTACTTTACTATCCATTTCTGTTTTATGGGAGAGTTCATCCCATTCTCATTCACAGTTATGATTACTATCTGTGTCTTCCTCTCTGTCTCTCTCTCCCCCTTTCCCCTTCATGCTTTTTTCTCTCCTTTCTCCCTTTCCCTCCTCAATAGAGTTTTACTTTCAACCAGTGCCCTCCCTTCTTTTAGCCCCTTCCTTTTCTTCCATCTTACCCTTTCTACTTCTTTCCTCCCTTCTGTTCACTTCCTCCCTTTTCTTTTCCTTTTACCCTCCTACTTCCTATAGGGTAAGTTGGATTTTGATACCTAACTGATTATGTTAATCCCTCTTTGAACCAAATCTGATGAGAGTAAGATTCAAACAATGCTCATCTCCCTCCCTTCTTTCCCTCTACTGTATTAGGTTTTTATGCCTTTTCATGTGATGTAATTTATCCTTGTCTGCCTCTTCCTTTTTCTAGTACAATCCCTTTTCATCACTTAATTAGATTTTTTACCATCACATCAAAGTCAGCTTATACCCATGCCGTTTGTCTAAGTATACACTCCTTCTAAATGTCATAATAACATTATAGTTCTCAAGAGTTACAATTGTCATCTTCACTTGTAGAGATGTAAACAGTTTGCCCTTATTAATAATGTTATTTTTTTTTTTAATTTTTCTTTCCTGTTTACTTTTTTATGTGTCTCTTGAGTCTTGTATTTGGAGGTCAAATTTTCTGTTGAGTTCTGGTCTTTTCATCAGGAAGGTTTTGGAAGTTCCCTATTTTCACTGAATGTTCAACCTCCTTCCCTAAAAGATTATGCTCTTTTTCTCTGGTACTTGATCCTTGGTTATAATCCAAGCTTCTTTGCCTTCCAAAATATTGTATTCCATGCCCTTTGATCTTTTAATGTAGAAGCTTCAAGGTCCTGCGTAATTCTGACTGTGGTTTCATGATATTTAAATTGTTTCTTTCTTGCTGCTTGTAGTATTTTCTTTTTGATCTGGTAATTTTGGAATTTGGCTACAATATTTCTTGGTGTTTTCAATTTGGAATCTCTTTCAGGAGGTGATCGGTTTGGACACTTTGAATGACTAATTTACCCTCTGGTTTTAGGACCTCAGGGCAGTTTTCTTTGATGCTTTCCTGAAAGATGTCCATTCCCATTTTTTCATCATGGTTTTCAGGTAGACCAGTGATTTTTAAATTGTCTCTCCTGGATTTCTTTTCCAGGTCAGTTGTTTTACCAATGAGGTATTTTACATTTTCTTCTATTTTTTCATTCTTTTGTTTCTGTTTGACTGATTCTTGAGTAACTTTTTTTTTTTTTATTTTTTGGCTAGGCAGTGGGGTTAAGTGACTTGGCCAGGGTCACACAGCTAGTAAGTGTTATGTATCTGAGGCCTGCTTTGAGTTCAGGTCCTCCTGACTCCAGGGCCAGTGCTCTATCCACTGTGCCACGTAGGTGTCCCTGTTTGACTGATTCTTGCTTTCTCAAAGAGTCATTAGCTTCCACTTGTCCCATTCTAATTTTTAAGGAGTTGTTTTCTTCTATTAAATTTTGTATGTCTTTTTCCATTTGGCCCATTTTACTTTTTAAGGTGTTTTCTTCAGTTATTTTTTGTGCCTCCTTTTCCATTTTGTCAGTTCTACTTTTTAAAGACTTGTTTTATATAATTAATTATAATTAAAAATAATTAATTTTTGTTCTTCCTTTTCCAAGCTATTGACTATTTCTTGCATGCCTCTCATTTCTTTTCCCAGTTTCTGGCTTTGCTCTTGATGTAGGGGGTACTGTGCACTTTTGTAGGCAAGTTCTGGCCTAGTTCTGTACTGCTTTCTTGGGGTATCAAGTGTTGTATTATGTCAAGTGTTTGGACAGCTCAGGCTGGGAGCTGATTGCTTGTCCCCCTGGTCCAGTTCTGAGCAACAGTAGATTGCTACTGGACTCAGCCACTGTCAGCTAGCTGAGAAGCTCTACTGATTCCAAGTGATGGAACTACAGGCTCACCTTCGGTTTTGTTCTACCCTGATTATTTCTCTGCAGCTTCGTACTGGGCTGACGGTTGGACTTGATACTTTGCTCTTACCTGGGTGTCTGAGCCTTACTGTGCTGCTTGTATTTAAACTTACTCCCCTCTTGGTATGCAGCCTAGGGCTCAAGACCACCACGGGGGTGGAGGTGGGAGGGTATGGGCCCCTTCTTCGGTCCTTACTGGATGTTTCTTGGAACTAGGTAATAATAAACAAATCTGTAAGTTCCCACCTATCCCTCTTTTGATCCCTAGTATGGATCTGGATCTGGATCTGGGTCCTCCTCTTACCCCCTTCATATCCCCTTCCTGAGCACTGGTGCATGATACATGGCATGCTCTACATGAAACCTGGCTCTAGTTTCCACAGAACTTTCTATTGGACTCCTTATGGCAACTTGGTTTAGAAAAAATGAGTTACTGTGACTTTTCTTGGATTTCCCATCATGATTTGGTTTAGTGCTTTTTCTTTGTCCATTTGGAGGAGTTTTGGGAAGGAAGAAAGGGGAACTGCTCACTGCTACTCCATTTTGGTTCCCTCTTTTTTTTCCCTAAAGTCATTGTTTTATGCTGGTTTCCTGTCTTCAGCTTTGTTGCTGTTCCCTGTGGCTCTTTATGGTGGATTCTGTTATCATTTGCTCATTCTTCCAGCCTACTTCTTGACTGGACTTTATGTTGGAGCTGGGCTCTGCTCCCAGGGCAGATAGGGGAGGGTGGAGGGGATGTCTGAACTGAACTTTTGTTCTCTTGCTCCCTTTTGCTTTCCCAGCTGGGGACCTGCAGTCTCTCTGTACTCCCAAAGTGATGTGATCCAAGGCCTTCTTGATCTCAGATTTGCATATTCCTGAACTGGGTTTGTTTCTGTTGCTTTGTCCCTGGTAGGAAGCTTCAATAGAATGATGCTGGACTCAGCCCTTATCAGTCATCTGGAAAGCTCTGTTGGTTCACTCAGTCAGTAAGCATTTATTAAACACCTACAGTGTGCCAGGCACCATTCTAAAGGATACAAAAAGAGGCAAAAGACTGACCTTGCGCTCAAGTTGCTCATAATCTAATGGGGGAGACAACATAGAAACAAATACATACAAAACAAGCTGTATACAGGATAAAAAAGATAATTAACAGAGGGAAGGCACTGGAATTAAGAGGTATTGAGGAAGACTTCTTGTGGAAGGTGAGGTTTTAGTTGGGACTTAAAGGAAACCAGGAATTTTAGTAGTCAGCAGAGGAGGGAGAATATTCTCGACATGGGGGAAAGCCAGAGAAAATGCCCAAAGCTGAGAGATAAGGTGTCTTGTTTGTGGAACAGCCAGGGGAGCCACTGTCACTGGATTGAAGAGTACATGTCTAGGAGAAAGGTGTAAAAAGATGGAATGATAGGAGGAGAATAGGTTATGAAGGACTTCGAATGCCAAACAGAATATTTTGTATTTGCTCCTGGAGGCTATAGGAAGCCACTTTAGTTTATTGAACAGAGACCTAACTGGAGGATGGATTGGAGTGAGTAGAGATTTGAGTCAGGCAGGCCCCCACCCCATGTTATCGCAGTAGTTTAGTTGTGAGGTGATTAAGGCCTGCACTAGATTGGTGGAAGATTCAGATGAGAGGAGGGGTCATATTCAAGAGATGTTGCAAAGGTGAAAACAACAGGCATGGCGGTGTGAGATAATGAAGAATCCAAGATGACTCCTAGGCTACAAACCTGAGGAACTGGGGGATGGTGTTGACCCCTACAGCAATAGAGAAAATAAGAGGAAGGGAGAGTTTAGGGTGAAAAATACTGAGTTCTGTTTTGGGCGTGTTGACATCCATTTTGAGAGGTCTGAAAGGCAGTTGGAGATGTGAGAGGTCAGCAGAAAAATTAGGGCAGAATAAGTAGTTTGAGAATCATCAGCAGAGGGATGGTAATTAGATCCATGAGAGCTGATAAGATCACCAAGTGAAATGGTAAAGGGAGAAGAGGACTTAGGACAGAACCCTGAGGGACACCTACAGTTGGAAGGTGTGATTTGGATGAGGATCCAGCAAAAGAGACAGAGAAGGAGTGGTTAGGTAGGTGGGAGGAGAACCAGGAGAGAATGGTGTGCTGAAAACCTAGAGAGAATGGAGTTGTCAAGGAGGAGGGAGTGAACAACAGTGTCAGGCTGCAGAGAGGTCAAGGAGCATGAGGATTGAGAAAAGGCTAACTAAGAGATTATTAGTAACTTTGGAGAGAACAGTATTAGAGGAATGATAAGGCCAGAAGCCCGATTGTAAGGGGTTGAGAGGAGAGAAGAGGTATCTGTTATAGATGGCCTTTATGAAAAGTTAAGCTACAAAAGTCAGAAAAGCAAAAACTCCTCTGTTTGGTTTTCAGAGTCCTTCATAACTTTCTCCCCCTCCAAACCTTTCAAATCTTCATTAGTTTTCCCCAGTTTCTGGAATGTTCTTCCTTATCTCTGCTTCCTAGCTTCTCAGGCTTCCTTCCGGTCTTATTTAAGATTCCACCTTCTACAGGAAGCTTTTCCCAAATCCCCTTAATTCTAGTTCCTTTTCTTTGTTGATTATTTCCATTTGTTCTGTATATAGCATAGTTTTTTGCATGTTGTCTCTATTAGACCGTGAGCTCCCAGAGAACAAGGACTATGTTTTGCTTCTATTTGTATCCCTAGCACTTAACACAATGTTTAGCACTTAGAAGATCCTTTAAAAAATGTTTATTGACTATTTCAATAGAAAACATGAATAATAAAGCAAGTAATGTAGTAATAAAGCAAAAATAAGTATTTGTTTTTGAAAGGGTAGATTTAAGGTCTACAGTGAACTTATAAAGTAGTTTAAGTCTTGGTTCCTATATTTTCTGTATTTCTCCTTTGTGTTGTAATATTGTTTTCTAATGATCACTAATCTAATGACCTTTTTATAGAAAAAAATTTTTTTAATGTATTTCAGAGCCTGGGAATATATCAGCCATAATGTGAGGAAAAAAGGAAGCTTATTAGTAACAGTCCCGAGTCTTAAGGAATCTCTCTCAAATCTACAGGTTTGTCAGTATTTTGGTTTTTTAAATCCTAATTGCTCATTTTTTATATAATAATTATTAAAAAATTCTATTTATGTTCAGTCTGAACATGGTGACACATCAGTATAACTTTGTGGTTAAAGTGTTGTCTTGAGTTTGGTATGAATCCCAACCTTAACATAAACTTCTCCACCTAGAGCTTTAGGCTTTCAGTGATAGGAGTTTGAAGTTGACAGCAGTAGTGAATGATATAAAAAATTTAGAATGTCTACAAATCATATTTTTGCATAGTATTACAGAAGGTACAGATTATATGGAATTAAAGCAGACTGGACCCCTGAAGCCTACTTTTAATGCAGCCACTTTTAAATCTTATGTAAACTGTTTAATTTCTTTCTGCCTCAGTTGCACTTGGTATAAAACAAGAAGGATATTTAACAATAGATTCAACTCACAATAATGATATATTGTTCAATTAATATTTATAAAGACCTTTGAGATCCTCAGATTAAAGGCACTCCTGCACCCTGATGCAGAGAACTGTCATCATCATTTGCTTTAGCAATGTCTTCCACCATATATATGCACTGCCAATTTTAATACCTAATTTTTACATTGAAATGAAAACACTGAAGCCATATTAACTATTTGAACCCTTGTGTCATTTTATAATCTATAATCTCTTTATGCTATATGGCCCATACTTATTATTTTTTCAAATTATTTAGCTACAGTGTTTAGCGACAGTGTGGTGTAGGGCAGTGGTGTCAAATTAAAGGAACAAAACCAGAATCAGATTAAAATATAGCTTGGAGGGGCAGCTAGGTGGCGCAGTGGATAGAGCACCGGCTCTGGAGGCAGGAGGACCTGAGTTCAAATTCAGCCTCAGACACATAAAAACTCACTAGCTGTGTGATTCTGGGCAAGTCCCTTAACCTCAATTGCCTCAATTTAAAAAATAAAAAATAAAAAATATAACTTGGAAATGTCTAACAAAACAAAAATATAATACGTTATAGATAAATGTTCTTATGTGGTTTTCTAAGTCACAGTGTGGCCCACAGGGATCCGTTCTATTTGAGTCTGACACCTCTGGGTATTAGGTAGAATTGGCTGATGGCCCTGGGCAAATCACTTAACATCTCAGTGCCTCAGAAAACACTTTAAGACTATAAATTTCAGTGGTAAAGAGAGTTCCTTAACGTGAGCTCCCTATGTAGATGAAATCGAAGTGTCAGGTTAAAATAAAAAACTACCGTACTTAGCGGTGCTATCACTTAGTAAAATAATGACTTCCATCAGAAGTCCGTAAACCTGTGTGGATACATCACCCTAACCTCCCCATCCCCTGGTTAGAAATGACTCAGCAAAACAAACTATTACCTAATTCTCTTTCTTTGCTAGTTAAACAGTTCAATTCAAAAAGAATGCTTTTAGTTCCTACTATCTACAAGGCACTGGGCTATAAGTTGTCACTATGAGGACAAAAAACCAAAATAATTCCTTCACTCAAGGAGCATACGTTCTATTAAGGGTATACAATATGTACACAATAAGTAACAAAAAGTATTTTCAATTCTGAGAATGCTACCAAACTTGGGAACTTGGGAAAGTCCTTGTAGGGCAGACGACTCCTAAGCTGGGGCACATATCATATATATTTAAACCATTCAAATTTAATTTAATGCACTTGGATTTTCTTTTTATTCTGTGTGTTTCCTTTTTTCTTTGTTCTGATCACATGATAGTTCTAAAAATAATCATTTTAATTTAAGTTTATTTCTTAATTGCTAAGTACCTTAATCAGGGTAAGTTCATAAGCTCATTCAAGATATTAATATATGTAAAATCTGATTCTGATATATAATGTGATCTGCTGTTCTCAGTTTCTCTTATTATAAGTTCTTAAAATTCCTAGGAACTAGACTTTTCCCTCCAGTTTTTTATTTATACAGCTTTGTCCTTGTTATTTTTTTTAGGTGGCTATACCTCTGAACCAGTGGGTTGAAGAAGTACAGTTGAACTATGATGTATATACAGAAAAAGACATCGATAGAGAATCGCTGGAACAAATTCATTTGTATAAGATCCTTTAGAATCAAGATTGACTGTTTTATTTTTTAATATGTGTGATACTTTAATTAAAATATTTATTTGCAGTTTGACTTCCTTTAACCTGATTAAAATAGGCAGTTTCTTTAACATCTAATTTTATAGTCAAAGTTAAAATTTGAGAAAATGACTGTTCTAAACTCAAATTCCACAATTTTGTAACACCTAGAACATAATGGTATATCCCAGAAGTCTTAGTGCAGGTTAAGTTTATTTAAGCTCCAATATACTTATTAAAGGTTTAACTGTGTTAAGACAGCATTAGTGACTGCATTATTTTGAAATATCACATATATTTCCAATTAAATTTTAATTAAAAACACTTTAACAATGCACCTCATACAACTAAGTACCAATCAGTGCAATTAATAATGAACCCTGTGTAGTTGCCACCTTCAGATTTTTCAGATTCACACTATATATTTGTTTACAAAATTATAATTTTGAATAAGATTCATTTCTTGACCTAGTGTTACTGTGACATCATTATGTGATCCATGACATATGAAATCAAGAAAGAGTTCTGTGGTTTTCAACCAAAAAAAACACCTTAACTGTTTATGAAACATGTTGGGGTATGGTAGAGCCTGGACTTGTGATTTTTATCAGTGTTGGGAACTCCTAGTGAGGAAATTCTACCAATGGAGATGAAAAAGTATTCAGCAACTTACAGTCAGCGTCAGGGCCACACAGCTATGTCAGTGTCAGGACTTCCAAGACCCCCTCTCTACATAATTGCATACTCATAAAGTATTACATTTAAATTACTTAAAAGGAATTTAGAGAATTAGCTATATTTTGGAACTTACTGGGCTTCTGAAGATTACCTCTCAAATGAGAGAGAATTCTCTAGGTTCTAAAAATAAAAGATCAGAGGGAAAAAAAAGTTGAAATTAGACATCGCATTTAGGATTTTGAACTAGACGCTAATTGGCAGTACTACTTGTTGGGCCCTAAACTCCTATTCCAGCATTGGTGACAGAAGAGTCATAGTAGGTTATTGTTGGAAAAGATCTAAAAGGTCATCTAGTCTAACCCCCCCTTTTGTTTTTTTTAACAGATAAGGAAACTTAGGCCTAGAAAGGTTAAGTAATTTGTCTAAAGTCACATAGTAAATAGCAGAGTCAAAATCTGAACCAAGGTCCTCTGATCTAACACTCTCCACTATACTATACTGCCCTCATTTATGACCAAAAATAGAAGTTTGAACTGTGCTGAAGGAAGGGCTATCAGTTGTCAGCATCCCCAGGCAGTATTATATAGTGATGAAAAAAAGAGACTGTGCAGATTTCTTGGAGTGGTGGAAAGAAACATTTTGATAAAGAGGAAGAAAGACGATGTCCTGGTCTCTGCTGTTAATATAACTTCTAATTTCTAGAGAAATCTTTGGCCTTTGAACAACACTAGTGTTTACCTGGCCACTGCCACTAAAGCAGTGGTAGTGGGATGAACTCCAGGTCTCCATTCTAGGTAGAACAGCAGCTATGGACAGTGCAAAGACAGAGGCCAACTGACAGTTTGGTCACACTAGAGAGTTACTTTACTAGCTTATCTGACAAGTCATTATTCTGCAAATACTTAATAGTGGGCTGTAGCTTGTAGAAGCCATGTTTGTGACATTTTTAGAAATCCTCAGAGATGGAATATAAATGTGGCTATTGGGAATGAAGTTACTGGTACAAGACAGACGTTCAAAGCCTCAATACTGTGATGATAAATGTGCTTTCAAAAAAGAAATCACAGATCTCTTGGTAAAGAGAAATGTTTTCAGCAACAGGAGAACAATAGGGACAGTCTAAAATACTATGAAATATTATGAGTGATAGTCATATAGTCATCAAAATTTCACATGAGTGCTTAACAAAACATTTGAAGGAGACAGGCCCTGCCACCATAAACATGCATATGGCATTACTAACCTTTTTTTACATGTTATTACATTAGGTCTCATTCAAATTGGTATCATTTAAAAGATCACTTTCTTGATTTAAAAAGAAGGCATGGTTTAGGAAAACTAATTCTGATTTCCATCCCCATTAACCACACTGAATTCCATTCCCATGTTTCTACCTACCTACTGGACATCTCTTCCTACATTTCCCACCTAAACCTCAGACTTAATTAGCATGTCCAAAACTGAATTCATCATCTTCCCTCCAAAATTCATTTCTTCTAATTTCCCTATTTTTAATGCCACTATTCTCATCGAAAATCACTTAACACACTTGACTCTGTATACTCCATTCTCTAGTAATTTTTTAAATAAATTTATGTTGGTGTCTTTTATTACATCACCGTAATTTCCCCCATCATCTCTTTTCTTCTCCCATCAAGCTATCCTATATAAACAAATTGTATTTTTAAAGTTAAAAAGGAAAAAAAAAGCATAACCAATGCATAAAGTCTGAAAATATGCAATGTACAATTGTAGACCTCACACCTCTATGAAGATTTTTTTTTTTGGAGCTATGCTTGTTCTTTATGATTTTGCAGCATTCACTTCTTTATTCAACAAGAACCATAGGAATTGCAGCAAAACTCCCATTGTGCAGGAATATAGACTAGACCCATTACAGGCTCTTCTTCAGTGTTGCCTTCATTTCCGAGTTCAGTTATGTTACTTTCCTCTACAGCTAGATAAACAATTTGCATGCAGATGATGTACCCTAACAAATGCAAACTGCAGAAATTTAGGACTTCCTACTGTTTTTGAGGTCACTTCTTGACTTCCTAGATCCTTTTTGTTGTATTGATTTTCACAAGGTTCCTATGAACATTTTGCCATCCAAAAGTTGCTGTTTCTGTGAAGGATTTAGCAAAGCAAATCCATTCTGCCTATTGCATGGAAGAGAAAAATTTTAATTACCTGCAAATGCAAGAAACTTCACAGCCTCTAGCTATTGCAAAGCATGGAATCCAATGAAACAAAACAGGTCCTGTCCTGAGATATTATTGTCCTTTCCACTCTCATTTCTTCCTTCTAAGAAAAGCTTTTCTTTTGGGGCAACTTGAGATAGGCATTGATAGACTAGCAAAATTAGAAAAGGGAATTAAACAACGTAAGTTGTTTCATAGAATTCTTTGGAACATTTAAAACATCACCTGCTTGTTTCACATGATAATGAAAATGCAACATGGAATTCCATGTCTTATACTTGATTCTTCATTTGAAAGAATGTCTTCTGCATTCAACCTGAGTCATGGGAATTGCAGTAAAAGTCCCATTGTGAAGGAATGTTGCAAGGCATTGAAGACATTGTTCATTACGCTAAATCCATTACAGGCTCTTCTTCACTGCTTTCCAATACGGTTTAAATAGGCTGCTTATTGACATCAATGTAAATCACATATGAGTCCAAGGTTGCCTTCATTTCCATGTCAATGAAAGCAGTTCAGTACCTTACTTTCCTCTACAGCTAGAGAAATAGTTTATATGCAGACAGTGTATCCTAACAAATGAACCCAAACTCCACAGAAATGTAGAACCTCCGGCACTTCTTTCAATTTCTAGATCCTGACGATCCTTTTTATCAGTTTCTATTGATGTTTTTTGGTCCAAACGTGGCTATCTCTTTTGGTTGAGAATTTACCAAAGAAAATGTGTTCTGCTAATTCAGGGAAAAGAAAAGTCTTAACTGCACCTGCATATGCATGAACTTCCACATTCTTGAGCTCTTGCAATGCATTGAATCCAATGAAACAAAACAAGTTTGCGAAATTACCGTCCACTCCACTCTCAGTTCTTCCTTCTGAGAAGGGTTTATTTTGAGGCAACTAAAGATAGGCATTGATAGACCAGCAAAAATAGAAAAGAGACAAACATTTTAGGTTAGGCTTCATAAAATTCTTGTTCCCAACACAAGTTTCAAATGCCATCTTAAATGGCAGTGCTCCATTGAATTCAGTGTCTTTTACTTGATTCTACTTTAAGTAGACTTTTCATTAGAAAGAGGACTTTTTCATTCAACAAGAACCATAGGGATTGCAGCAGGAATCCCTTTGTGAAGTAATATTTCAAAATGCTGAATACATTGCTCTTTCCACCATATCCAGCAGGTTTCCAATACAGTTTAATTATGCTGGTTATTTTTTTCTTCAATTAAGTATTTTATTTTTCCCCAGTTACATTTAAAAACAATTTTTAATATTCCTTTTTAAAACTTTGAGTTCTAAATTCTCTCCCTTCCTCCCCACCCCACCCCATTGAGAAGGCAAGCAATTTGATGTAGGTTATACATATGTAGTCATGCAAAATATTTCCATAATAGTCATGCTGTGAAAGAAAACAGACGACAAAAAAACCTCAAGAAAAATAAAGTTTAAAAAAGTATGCTTCAGTTTGTATTCAGACATCATCAGTTCTTTCTCTGGGGATGGATAGAATTTTTCATCTAAAGTCCTGTGTTGTCTTGGATTGTTGTATTGCTGAGAATAGTTACTTCATTCACAGCTGATCATGTTACAATATTGCTGTTACTTTGTACACAGTACATTTCACTTTGCATCAGCCCATGCAAGTCTTTCCAGGCTTTTTTGAGAACATCCTGCTCTGATATTTGTCATAGTACAATAGTATTCCATCATAATCACGTACTACAACTTGTTTAGTCATTCCCTAATTGATTGGCATCCTCTCAACTTCTAATTCTTTATCCCCAGAAAAGAGCTGCTATAAATATTTTTGTACATATACGTCCTTTTCCTTTTTGTTTCTTTATCTCTTTTGGGATACAGACCTAGTAGTGGTATTGGTAGGTCAAAGGGTATGCATGGTTTTATAGCCCTTTGGGCATAGTTCCAAATTGCTCTACAGAATGGTTGAATCAGTTCACAACTCCACCAACAGTGCATTAAAGTCTCATTTTTCCCACTTCCCCCCCAACATTTGTCATTTACCTTTTCTGTCCTTTTAGTCAATCTAATGGGTATGTAGGTAGTGCCTCAGAGTTGTTTAATTTGCATTTTCCCAATCATTAATGAGTTAGAGCTTTTTTAAAAATTATTTTTGATTATTTTATTTGATTATTTCATTTGGAAACTGACCACATCTTTTTGTCATTTTTCATTTGGGTACAATGGCTCTTATTCTTATAAATTTGACTCAGTTCAATATATGTTTGAGAAATGAGGCCTTTATCAGAGAAACTTGCTTCAAATTTTTTTCACAGTTATTATTAACTGTATTTCCCTCCATCCTATTGCCCCCCCATTTATTCTATTCTTTCTCTCCTTTTACCCTGTTTCTTCT